CGCCACGCAGTTCGGCGGCCACGCGTCAGCAGAGGCGGCCGGTGACGCGGCGGCACGGGAGCACAACGACTTCCTGCAGCAGGAGCACGCGACGCAGCAGCGCCACATGCAGACCGACGAGGCGACACTCGACCGCCTCGCCGGCGGCGTGCGCCGTGTGAAGGAGACGGCAGTGAACATCAACGACGAGTTGAACACGCAGGAGCACGTGCTAGACGACATTGACGAGGGCGTGACGCGGGCCCAGCTGCGCCTCGAGGGCGCAATGAAGAAGGTGGCTGTGCTGCTCGACTCCGCAAGCGACGGGAAGAAGATGGCGTGCATCGTTGTGCTTGTCATCATCCTAGTGCTACTCATCATGTTTGTGGTGAAGTAGAGGGATTCTGCCTGCTACTACTACTACTCTTACTACTACTACTACTGGTGCTGCTGTTCTTCTTACGGATTGTGCTGGGGTGGGAGGGGGAGTGGGGAAGCCAACAAAGAGAGACGAAAGGAGCGGAGAAAAGAAGCACCACCCACATCTCCCCACCCACACATTCCTTCAGAAGAGCAAAAAGAAAAGCATATGTCCCTTCAAGTTTTGCTGTAGTTGCTCACCACCACATGTCAATATGGATCTGCTCCTCCTCCTCCTCCGCCTTCCCTCTGTTGTGGTTTCTTTGCCCCTTTCTTTTTTTCTCATATTTCTTTATCTTGTCTCGCCCTTTGTGCAGCGGTGGTATCTGCCAGTGTTTAGGTTAACTTATCCTCTTTCTTGTTGGTAGCGGAACAATGAGTACAACGAAGGGGATGACGATAGCGACAAGATACAGCGGTGCCTTCATCATTATCGCCGCCTACGTCTTGGCCTCTACTGTTACCGCCACTTCTGAAGCGCCCGCGGTGCCACAGCAACAGCTCAACACCGTGTCGTATTACGGCCGGCTTGGGCTGCACCCGAATTACTTCAACCACCCTGACGCTACGAGCCCACTGTGGCGCGTGCAGGGCGGCGAGGTTGTGCTGAGCAACGCGCATCACACACTCCGCGCCCCCACGCACACTGACGGCTCCTTCGTACTGTACGACGTCCCATACGGCACGTACCAACTCCACGGGGAGTACGCCCACTTTGTGTACCCGACCGTGCGTGTGGATGTGACACAGAAGACAACGCACGGCATCGCCGCGCCAATCATCCGCACGTATGCGAATGACGCCAGCATGACGCCGGTGCAGGGGAGCGGCCTCGACGAGTCCTCGCCAGCGATCATTCCGTTTGTCGGCGTGCACGAGTACTACACACCGCGCGAGCACTACAGCGTGTTTGACTTCTTCAAGAACCCGATGATCATTATGATGCTCGTGTCGATGGGGCTGGTGGGCATTATGCGGCTGATGCCGGAGGAGGACCGCAAGGATTCGATGCGGGAGATGCAGCGGCTGCGCAAACAGTTCGCCGGCGAGCCCACAGATGGCGCAAACACGCCCTCTGTCACAGCGGGAGGAAGGGAAAAGAAGTCCAAGTGAAGGAGCACGGCAGAAAACGAGCACTACAAACAAATGAAAAAGAAAAAAAAAACAGACCAAAACAAAAAACACACATGAAGGGAAGAATGCGAAGGGAGAGAGTGAGGGAGCGGCGAAGCTGCGGAGCGGGAGAGGGTGGGTGGAGTAGGTGGCGAGAGAGAGAGAGAGAGAGAATGAGAAAAAAGAGAGAGAAAGAGATAACGCATGCTGCTGCTGCTGCACATTTGCCCTGTATAGGTATCCTTGTGTCTCTGTGTGTGTGTGATTATGCCCCTGCGTTGCCTTGGCTCCCGCCGGTGTCACATTCGTAATGCTAAAGTAAATGAACACTGCTGCCCGCAGTGGGCTGCGCATGCATTTACACTCGCTCTCTCTCGCACACACACACACACACACATACGCATACTTATATTACATGTGGTGTAATATAAGCGTCTATATATATTAATATATACGGGTATAATGTACGTGCATCTGCTTCGTTCAGTGAGGAGGATGTGATTCTCTCTTTTTTTCGTGTTCTTTTTTTTGTGTTTTGTTCTGTCTTTCCTCTCCTTGCTGTGCACACACAAACACAAACACACTACGGTGCGAAGAGACAAACGAAGTGCACATAAGCTCCGCGTCCTTCCCCTCCATTGTGAATGGGAGTGCGATCGAGAGACCGACGAAGCCTCGTCATTGGATTGGTGCTCTCCGTTGGTTTACTGTTACTGTTCGTGCTCTACAGTTACCTTTCCCCCAATGATGATGTGCACATCGATGTCCCAGTCGATGGCCCGGGTGCGATGATTGAGGACGTCACGGAGCTTGCCAGCGGCAACTACCGCAGTGTCGTTGGGAAGTCTAAGTTTGCCCTGGTAGAGTTTTACGCGACTTGGTGTGGCTACTGCAAGGAATTCGCGCCGGTGTACGCAGAACTGGCAGCCGCAGTGCGCGCAGACGCCATGCTTCGCGAAAGGGTGGTGCTGGCTAAGATAGATAGCCGACGTGTGCGACAACTGGCGCCGCACTTTCAAGTGAAAGGATACCCGTCCCTTTTCTTGGTCCCGCCCTTCGAGGCGAAGGGGCAGGAGTATAAGGGACAGCGCTCTGTGAAGGCAATACTTGCGTTCCTGCGTGCTCACGTTCACTGAGACGGCCCAGTGGTAATTTTTTTTTTTTTTGCCGTCCGTGATTGTTTCTCTGTGTGAGTTTGTGTGTGTGTGTGTG